GCATCAAACGTTATAGACGCAGCTAGAGAAAAAGTGAATGTATTTCTTGTAATAAAAATGAATTCAAAAGTGTGTAAGTGGTGTGCAGTAAAAACACATCAATAAAAACACCCGACAAGGTGTTTGTACATGTCCCAAATAAGAAAATAATAAAAGATAAATAGTTGAAGCTAAAAGCAAAACCTGAACAACGTAGTTCCTAATTCACCGCTTTATTTCTGTGAAGACCACTTTGATGTGAGTATATTATTATGAGTTTTTGGGGAATGTGAAACAGTTGAAATATTGAGGCTATGTAATAACTTACATTGAGGTTACGTTTGTTCTTGGTTATCATTCTTATTATTAATTTTAATTGTTTAGTTTCTTTTTTCAGTTGCAGTTAATACGCTTTTCGCTAATATCATCTTCTTTGCTTCTTGTTCTGTTTTTTCATTTTCTAAAAAGGTTTTCTCTAGTGTATCTGTTAGAATGGCTGACTTCCATTTTCTTTTGTTTCGAATATATAATTGAGACAGGTTTTGTTGCTTCAGGCCATTTGATCTCCACAATGCTATCTTGACATATTCCATCAGGGGAACCTGCTATCATTGGATATTTTTGCGATATGAACAGCCCACTATTGTTGATTTTCTTCCCTAGTTTCTTACTATTTCTCGTACTTCATTTTCTAGATATCTACCCCGTTTCATTGCTGGTGTGTCTGGAATCTTATATTTTCAATCTTGTTAATAAGTTCAACTGTCAAATTAACTTTTTAAAAATAAATCACAGTGCTCTTCTTTATACGTAAGCAAAATTTGCATTGAGACACTAAGTAATTCATCACATATATAATCCTGTTGATATGTTAGAAGCTCGCTGTTATTAAGTTTTCTCTTTCTTCCTTCTTCTAAAATTTTTTCAAGTACTGTGGAATTAGAAGACAATAAAGGGCTTTAGATAAATCTTTTGAAGATATACATTTCAAAGTAGTGCCATAGCTTTGATTTTTGCTAGTAACACTGAACTTCTGTGCATGAAGGTTGTTCGCTTCGTCTATGAACCCACATAAGCAGTGCTATGGCATTCTTACATCCACCCTGGGCAGCAACACAATCATGGCATTGGATTGATATGACTTCTCTTCACATTCATTTACTTATGACGCAAAACTCCGCAAAAGTGAAGAGGTGGTACAACAAGAGTTTCCAACAGACAAAATATATGTATGTATTTAAATAACAAAATCAATTTTTTACGTCTTCTCCCGAAACGCGTTAGTACGTCATTTAGGGGAAATGGTCTGAGATGGCATAGTTTTTCAAAATGTTGCTTATACGTAAAGGTATAATAAATTTCATAAAAAGCCAGTCTATATCAAAGAGTGGTTTATTAGTAACAAATAAACAATCATAAACTGAAATACAATCCAATGTTAGTTTGACGGTCTTGATATGCTTTCATTAAGCATTGTAGAATTCTTTTTACACTCACAGTTGGCATCGACGATTTTTGCTATATTTCTATAATTTGTTGAGCCAATTTTTCTGATATTTCGTGAAATGTCGGCTCTTTTCTTGTTCTATCAGGCTTTAATTCATGTTTGTTGAATAGATAATTTTTCATTTCATTTATATGTTGGTAACTGAGATACAGGTAACTTCTCCGGCAAACCAAACACAGGACAGCTCGTCGTTCGTCGTGTTTTAACTTAAGACATATTTCTGTGATCATGACGAATAATATGTACTATAGTACGTGGGCTGCTTTTTAAGTTGTGCTGTTTGAAATAAGTATAGATAATCTAATAGATTATTATCATTTATTGTTTTTCAAAGATTTTTCCGCGACATTTAATATACTTTTGCATACGTTCAAACCAGTTTTTACAACATTTATTCCACTCTAATAGTAGTAGTCAAAATGGCCGATTTGTACCAGTCAACAGCTTCTTCGGGTGATGAAACGTTGACCACGAAGACTTTTCTTAATCAGGGCTGTAAGGCGGATGATCCAAAATTTCGACGAGTTTTGCGACACCAACTAACACGGGCTATTTTTTGGTCGTCGCTAAGCAAATGTGGCGCTAAAAAATCCAACGAGAGATCAACTTTCTTACGCCAAGTTCTCCATGCATGATTTTTTGGACAGTGGTCCCTGAAATGTCCACGGATGCATCTATCTCACGGTATGTCACATGACGATCTTCGAAGATTAGTTGCCGCACGGCTGCAATATTCTCTTGCGTCATGGCGGTTTTTGGACGACCTTCACGTGGCTTGTCACTGAGGCTAGAGTGCCCACGTTGAAATTCTAAATACATCGTTCTATAGCCCTAAGACGTTTGCGCCGTCAGTAAACATAGAAGTGATTTCCTGAAAGTACTGAAGTCGCGATAATCCCCTTTGATAATTGTAGAAAATTATCGCACGCAAATTTTCCTTAGAGATTTCCATTTTTACAACTGACTTGTCACCTTTGAATAGACGATACAATAAAACTATTCGACCAATCTGAAAACATTCTTTTGTTTTCGAATTTTAAATTCAAAAAGATGTAAATGTCATATGTTTTTTCTTTTCAGCTTTCCGAATAAGCGGTAGATTTAAAAAAATGTTGACTATTCAAAAGTGCTTAAATTAAGTTTATTTGAATAAATGATTTTCTATTCTATTCTATTCTATTTTAATAATCGCGGGAGGTTGGCAAACGACAAGACTTAAAAGGCAGCCTAGGTATTACAATTATGAACTAAACTGCGAGTATAATAGATGAAAAATACTACTTAAATTAAATATCTTGATCCCAGCCGTAAAATTCGATGCGTCAAAAAAGTGAACGATAAACAATTGTACTGCTGTACGCTCGAGAGTTGACTAAATGTTATTTTAGCGGTGTAAAATATAAAATACCCCTCAACCCCGCACACCTTGGGCATATTTCAAGGTCATTCCTTTATCTTACACTAACATGGCATCGATCAGGACCTTATTCAACGATTATAAAATGTTTGTGATTTCATGAGTATTTGGATAAATTTTTCAAAACATTATGATCATCATAATGTTTTGAAAAATTTTGGGGTGTCTCTAAACATAGCATGATCTAACTGATTTTTCTTGTGTTTAATGATGATCTAAAAGAGCAACTTTTAAGAGATATTGTGGGCAATAAAGGAGTCCAGGGAATTGTAGATATATATATATATATATTGTATATATTATTATAAGAGTATCGAATTATGAAGAAACACTACTAAACTCCCTTTACTACCAAACTTCCTTTCGGTTTCCTTCCTGGTCTAGGGCCAACAACAGATAGCAGTGACAATTTAGAATAGAATTTTGGTATTCGAAATATAAAGCATATAAAATAGGTTTATAGACAATTAAGTGGCTCTGTATTCCACAGATATGCCGAAGAAATAATAAAGAAAAAAATTAGCTCCACCCTAACGTACTATATGTACAGGGTGTCCGGTGGCAGAATTAGGATTTAAAATGTATATAACAAAAAAACTACGAAAGATATACATTTATATTTTTAATCATTATAAAGAAGACAAATGCGGGTTTTATATCTTAAAGATTATGTCGTCTAAATGTTGACCGTGACGTCGGACACATTCTTGGAATCTGGCTTCAGTATTTCTTGCCACTCGCTGGAGAAGTGCCGCCGAGATGCCATGAACTTCGCGAACGATATTTTCTTTTAATGCTGAGATAGTCGCCGGGCTTGTTTCATAGACTTTACTTTTGAGATACCCCCACAGAAAAAAATCCATTGGTGTAAGATCCGGGGATCTGGGTGGCCAGAGGATATCACCGAAACGGCTTATCAGTTTGTTAGGGAAGAAATCACGAAGTAGCGCTATGGTATCCCTAGCAGTGTGAGGCGTGGCGCCATCTTGCTGAAACCATGTCTGCGAAGTGAAGAAAGGATGTTCTCTCAATTTTGGAACAAAATAATCATTAAGCATTCGCCTATAAGCAACACCGTCTACAGATATTGCTTGCTCTTGATGATTTTCAAAAAAATACGGCTCAATTATCCCCCTGCTTGATAATGCACACCAAACCGTCACTTTGGGACTGTGAAGTGGCTGTTGATGTTTTAAGCGGGGATTTTGTCGTTTAGGGGACCAATAACGACAATTCTGCTTGTTTACACTTACATTTGAATGAAAATGGACTTCATCTCTCAAAACAATAGTGTTAATCGTGCGAAATTGCTCCAACATTGTCTCACAGAAGTTTTTACGCATATTGTAATCATTAGGCTTAAGCGCTTGCACAATTTGAATTTTAAATGGGTGAAATTTAAGATCCTTCTTCAATATCTCGTGCACTATAGTTTATGGAAGCCCCAAGGCAGCCGCTCTCTTGCGAACTGACTGACGCGGATTATCCCGCAAACTGGACGCGACGAGTTCAATGTTTTCATTTGTTCTCGACGTCCGGCTGGGCCCCGGTCGTGAGTTGTTTTCTGCTGAACTTGTTGCCCGGAACCTTCGCACCCATAATCGAATCAAATCTTCACTTGGGGCGTCTAGTAACCGTCGAATATTGTACCGTGAACAAAATCTTCGACGAGCAATTGCACATGAATCATTGGCTTTGAAATACGCTTCGATTGCGAAAGCACGTTGTTCACCTGTCCACTGCGACATCGCGACTAAATAACCCGCACGGATGACGAAGCCAACGCGGCCCCCTCCCCGCTCCTCCGCTCAACGGTTACGGAGATATTCGAAATTCAAATCCTAATTCTGCCACCGGACACCCTGTATATAGCTCTGCGGAAATACTTTTCAGTATATTCAGTATATATAATTTTCAGTAGATTGAGCAGGTTGGTTATTGACCCTATGTATAACAAATACATAGGAATTGAGACTATTCTGGGGCATTTAATTTCCACATCTAGCTGTTTAGCTACTTATTTAGCCTCTTCAAAAATCTGTCGGTAGATTGCGTCCACATTTTCACTTTTATTTTGTAACACACTTACGCCCGAAATTAATAACGTATCCACAATCCAAGATCGCTACCAATCTTAGATTGATCCCTATCTCCAGTAAAGTAATTATTTATAAGATCTGATCGATGTTGCATATCTAGCACAACCATGTTTTGTGCACCACTGTTTTCTATATTGTCAGCAGGTGGCAGCTCAACTTCTGGTGGGATTTCTTGTAGATTCAGGTTTCTACACATGTTGTGCAAAACTGCTGTAGCTATTATTATAGCATGCACATTTGATATTGACACTCTTAATGTCAGTGCTACCACTGGGAAGCGGCGTTTCCAAACTCCAAATGTGCTATAATAAAATATTTTAATTAAAAGTCATATTTCTACCAATGTATAATATGTTACTGGTTAGTTCATTACCGTTCAATAGTATTCCTAGTTTTAATATGTGATTCATTGTAACGAATCTCTGCTTCTGTAACTGGGTTTAATAGTGGAGTCAACAAATATGATCTGTTTGGATAAGCACTGTCACCAAGCAACCATCTGTTTCCAAAATCACCGGCATCACATTGAGCTATAAAGATTGATAATAATTATTATAAGGATCTCAAAAACAAAATCAATTTTATAAAAATAGTATAATTTAGAAAAACCTGTTACCTCTCAGTATAGAATTATTGAATATTGTTGCATCATGAGTGGAACCTGGCCAACGAGCTACAACATTCATCAACATCAGTTCAGCATCACAAACAGCTTGAACATTTAAAGAAAAGTAACCTTTACGATTCCTGAACTCTTCACCTATTGTTTGACCTTAAAAGAAAATAAATAGTATTTATCTCAAAGGAATAAATTAATAATATATTAAACATGTTTTAATACAAAGATGGAGATTGTATGTGAATGTATGTAAAGAAAAGAAATAGCATGTATCTCAAAGGAGTAATTAATAACATATTAAACATCTTTTAATACAAACATGAAGATTGTATGCGAATGTGTGTGCAGTCAATTGCACCCAGGACACGAGGAAAGCCAGCAATCCTATAAAAATTTTCTGCACCTTCCTGATGTACAAAAATATACTTGTCATACAATCGGGCTATGGCTCTTGACATGTCTCTCATGATTCTACCAGCAGTTGATTTTGAGACTCCAACAAAGTCTGCCACAGAAATTAGCATAGTGCCGAGAGCATAAAACCGGAGTGTCAAGAGAAGTTGATGAAGAGGAGACACGCCATAATTCCTGCAAAAAAAATATGATTGTGGATATGTTACATCTTACTAATGTTATTTTAATAGCGGCACGAGGCAGTAGTATTGATATATTTTACTTACTTTTTTGAGGTTACCCGAACAAAGGGAATTAATTCAGTCAATAATAATTGGAAGGCAGGTTTTGTAAGTCGAAACCTGAAAGTGAACTCTGCATCATCTAGCGTCTGCATGTAATTAACCCTTCTTATTATCCGTGAACTAACGCGTTGTCTGTCACTATCATCGTCACTAGAATTAGTATCCCAGTCGGATAACTGAATTAAATGTTCCAAATCACTGTCACTATCACTAGACGACATTTTGATAAAAATCTATGAATTCAAGTCGCAATCCCAAGAATTTCTAGGATAGCAAATTTAGATTGTTTATTTCGATCGATAGAAACGTCAAAACGTACAGATTGGTTATTAATACGCCACAAACGTCACTTTCATACAAATGTCAATCCAAGGATTGCGATCCGTCCTCCTAAAGATAGATATTAGGGACCAGATTATTCGAGGAATAAGAGAAAAGAGCCTGCATTAAAAGATTGCAATGTCAATCCATAGATAGATTATTGGCACGCGTTTTACAAAAATAGATTGAAATTTCAATCTTAGATTGCTAAAAATGGATTAGGATTGAATATTAATTTCGGGCGTTAAAGTATAATTAATATCGTCCATAGCTGCCGTATGATGGATACTCTTTGCCTATCATTGCCTATCATTGGATACTCTTTGGACAGCGTGAGCCCACATTTTGAAACTTAGTACTGACACTTTTTCTTACTTCATCTTCTAATAATCTACCTGGGCCAGTGTATCTGGGTTTCTATCTCCCATCATATGGCCTATTAGAGTCCCATCAATAGTTGTACAACGGCTGAATTCAAAAGCTCGAAAAGTTGTGATTCTGCTAAAAACAACGCCAAAGGTTGTATTGGTGCTGTTCCCTGGTCTGATTACACCGATTGTACGTCAGTATGAATGGATAACTGATATTTATTTATGAAAGAATGACGTCACGCACTCTCGATTAGTGTTCGATCTATCATGGTGGATTGTTAAGTTTTGCATTATATATATATATATAATCTCCCTTGTAATCTGAAAATAAATGTTTTAATTTTAATCGATACCCTATCGTAGAAAATTACATGAATCCTGAAATCTCGTTTTCGGTCATTCTTAGATAGTGACCTCATGCCTATATGAAATATATTGTAATACTTAAGTATTCGGTATTTGTTGAATGTTTTACTAATTTTATTTGCCTTTCATATACATCGTAGAAAAGTTATGGTACGTTATTTCGAGCGGCCGTGCTAATGGTCTCTGGCGCACCGCTTGATCGCCACTCGCCCCGTTCACCGCTGCCTCGCGCCCTATCCACCTGCCGTACAGTGCTCGCCCCGGATTTTTATGTTTGTGAAGTTAGCTGCGGAATGTGTATGCACATTCGTACAGACGCGAACAAAAATGCAATTGATTTTTATTTTATTGAATTATGTATCTACTGTGAAAATATTGTCAGAAATTAAACAAGTATTTTTTTGTATTACAGATGTACAGTTAATTCGTAATTATTGCTTACATTTATACATGAAAATGAAAAGCATCGACAATGTACCAAAAATATAATTTTAAAAAATCTTATTATATTTGTAAGTTGAGAAGAATACCAAAATGAAAGTTTTTTATTTATTGAATAAATTTTATTTAGTGTATAGTGACTAACTGACCATTTTTACAGCAGTTCTTCATTACTTGTATCCTGTAAAAATGTGATTCCCTCTATTCTGTCACATTTGCAACAATGTACCGCTTGTTCTTGGCCTGGGACCTGTAGGACAGACATCCATATAAAAATACAAATATAACTAACTAACTTGTCTTAGTTATATTTATGCATCAGAAAATATGAACCCGTGATGTCGCATCAGTATTGCTGGGGATTTTGCTGCTCTATATTTTGTATCTCTTGTAATGGAGTTTCATCTGCTGAGCAGGGCACCTAAAAACATTTATATACATTAGCTGTTTCCCGCAACTATGCCTTCACTCATTAATATATTAAGTAATGTGTTTACTTTGACACATAAAATATTAGCAGGATATTCCAACAGACAGTCTTAATACAGTCATCTGCTCTGAGGTAGAGCAAGAGGTACCCACTCTGTCCTAGTCATATTTCTATGAAGCTGCTGTTCTTTCATAGCTGTATTTTAGTTTGAAAGGTGGGAAAAGGCTGTAATCTTATATACAGAAATAACAGGAATGGTACACATAACATATACATAAGGAATACCATGGAAATCACCATGTATTTTGATGATATCCATGATGGTCTATATGTCTACAGATAACAGTTAGCACTATTTTAGTATATGGTTTTACAACATACCTCTGGAAATGTAGGTACACATGCATCCGACTGAGGTTCACCAAATCCCTCTCTCGTGATACCCAATATTCTGCTCTGTATTGGGTTTAAAGGCTCAGCTTATTTAATCAAAAGTTTAAGTAATTTGTCAGCCCATACCTAAAATTTATATAGTATGAGTATTGGAAAATTTTATTATAGACTTACGAGTATAATAAAGAATATATGTATATAATTGAAAAAATATCAGAAAAGTGCTTACCTTCTGCCCTTGCTTTACAGTTTTAGTGCATCCACGCAATGCATTTAGTTCGTCTGTGAGACAAACCCGTAATTGGTTGGATCTTCTTCGCCCTTCAACAGTGACCACGCGCTAACTCCTGGTGCTCTGCTAGAAATGTTAGAAGGGTATCCACTTGATCCACAGTGGGATTACTCATCTAAATGCATAAATACATTTGTTAGCGCTTGTCATAAATAGAAAATAATTAAGACAAAATTATTAGATGTGTTCAAGACAATTTGAACCTAAAATAAATATAAATATTTTGTAGTATATATTTTCGTTTTGTAATGGCAACACTTAACAGTTTAAAAAAGATTCATTCAAACTGTCACTCCCCCCTTTCTGTTTCTAACTATCAAGCCATACACACTGTACTCCTGTAAATCAAAAATAAAAATACAGTCCAAATATATTAAAAGCATATGTTGTTTTATTAATCCAACATATTGCTTGTGGTCCATCGAAGCTGTGAAATTCGACTGTTGTTTGGGTGCAAATCATCCCGGACGACATACTCCGTCGACGGCCAGTCCCAGAAGATTTTCGTGCGAAATCTATAATTTCGTTGCGAAATTTCAACATCGTCGTGATTACTCGTGATACACATCGCACAAGAACAAAAAAAACTGGCAGCTAAGTTGAATCTCAATATAATATCAACATTTTAATATTTTTCGAAGACGAGGGTATCTCCATCCACGGAGTTAAAATTCAAAGCAAGAAGAGACAAAGAGTCTTAAAGTTACGTCATCCTTTTCCTATTTTCGCTCTGTGGCACTCAGTGACTTTAGCTTTTATAATCTGTCACATTACAAAAAACAAAACTGCTGTATCATTGTGACAAATAAAGTGCATAATTATTGTTCTGAATTTCAAGTGTTTGTGAAAAATAAACCGTAAAAAAAATGGAGAATTCTGACACTCTATTGCGTGATTTGAAAAAACGGCGTAAAAAAATTTTATCAGTGTTGTACTTTTTGAATTTATCTTTGTATAAAGACGACTTAAGCATAGTTACATCAAATTCCAATGCCTTTGTTTCTAGGCAGTAATTTCACTCTTCTTAGAGTTTGATGTGGGCGCTGATCGATCTGATCTGATAATAATAATAACTACTGAGTTTTCTGGCAAATTGGGGATCAGTTTCATTTTTAACCATTTAGAATAATTATCAAAATTCATGTCATCATGATAATCCCCTGATTTTGTACCAGATTTGAACATTAGGAGAGCACCTGGAACAAAACCTCTCTCAGACCCAGCATGCGCTATAACCACCCTCTGACCCTTGGGTATGGGCTGTTTTAGTCCTTTATCCGATCCATCAGATTATGCCTTGGATTTCGAATGAGTTGCGTGGATATAAGACTCATCACTCTCACTAAATATTTTTTTCTTTTTAAACGGATTTCACTTTTCTTGATTAAGATTTTTCTATTATTTTCGCCCATCTGCCAGCGAAATCCAAGCTTCTTTAAAATGCGCCGTAATCTCATCGACCGTCGTTACTTAAGTCCTCTTATAACTTAGCTTTTAATTTGTTAAAAAACTCCTGTTGCTTTTGCAGTTCTTTGCTGCACTGCAAAGCTTTTGCAGTTTTTTGGCACCATCAAGAGCTCGTTGACCAAAAAACTTATGCACGTCAAATATTATTTTTCTCGCCTGTCTTTTTAAAACTATATTTCTACGCGGCATTTTTACAATACTAACCTAACCATTGAACTAAAACTAGTAGCATTATTATTACATATAACTAACCTAAACTACCTACTTAATTAATAACCTAATATTACAAAAGTTCATGAAGAAACATTAATCTACAAAAAAGACTGATAATGATAAACCACTAAATAACTTTTGAAGGATATTTTGACAAGGTATGACCATCATAGAAGTGGACAAATATTGTGTACTGCTCTTCGGAAGACACCCTTTAAAGTATTAACATCGACCACTTGTGGATGCGTCTGATACTCCATTTGAGCGGAGGTAGATTAGGGTCTTTGATTATCACGAGGTCTCTCTCTAATATACTTTCCTTATAATGTTTCCATTTACTACGTATTATTGGATTTCATTGAGATATTCATGGGGCCAACGATCCCAGAAGAATTGCGTTTTTTGTTCAATGTAGTGGTATCTTTTACTCTTGGAGACTTTGACATTGAGTAATTCTGGTGACGGAAGTGATGTCCAATGAGGAAGTGGTCCGGAGTCAGGATGGAAATCTTTAGGATCGGAAGAAAGAGAAGTGATTGGTCTTGAATTGAGGATAGCAAACAATATGGCGTGTGCTGAGTTATTCCCAAAGCGTTAATAGATGGCGCTACGTGTTCACTTTACATAATTAAGATTATTAAATTTAACGTAATTAAAACACGCCTCTTTAAATTTATAATCTTAAAACCTCTTACATAATCTAAATTAAACTTAACTTTAATCTGTTTCTCAAAAATTTTATCTTATCTAAACTTCTAGTTAACATGTAGTTAAATATAATTTTATATGGCAACAGTTATTTCACTAGATTGATTTAGTTTTCTTATTATAACCACCCTTAAAACTGTATAACAGAGAGGGCACTATATACCAGTCTCTCTCTCTACTGCGCCGCCATAGAAAGATATCCTTATATTCTGTCGTACT